CTTTAAAACGTTTAAAACAACAAAAAATATTTTTTAATGTATTTTATAACTAATATTGATAAAAAAATCATTTTTCTAGATTTTAGTCTTGTATACTATCCACTCGTAAGTTCATTTAAAAAAAAAAACGCACGTTTACGGAGATTTTGACTGTGTAAAGGAATTGAGTCTTTGCCACAAATCCCAATTTTCCAATACCTTTATCTCTGAAACCAGATGGCGTAAACCTTTGATATTTCAAACTTTGATTATTTGATCTATCAGAATTCATAGTTTGAAATATCAAAGGTCCTGTACCTGCTGTTTAATTTTTTCCCATTCTTAGCAACTAAAGTAACATTCTCCGTCCCTGCTGTTTAATTTTATCCCATTCAAAGCAACATTTTTAACCTTCTCCGTCCCTGCTGTTGAATTTTATACCATTCTAAGCAACATTATTAACCTTCTCCGACCCTGCTGTTTAATTTGTATCCCATTCTTAGCAACATTATTAACCTTCTCCGACCCTGCTGTTTAATATTATCCCATTCTGAGCAACATTATTAACCTTCTCCGACCCTGCTGTTTAATTTGTATCCCATTCTTAGCAACATTATTAACCTTCTCCGACCCTGCTGTTTAATATTATCCCATTCTGAGCAAAATTATTAACCTTCTCCGTCCCTGCTGTTTAATATTATCCCATTCTAAGCAACATTATTAACCTTCTCCGTCCCTGCTTTTGAATTTTATACCATTCTAAGCAAAATATTAACCTTCTCCGACCCTGCTGTTTAATTTGTATCCCATTCTTAGCAACATTATTAACCTTCTCCGACCCTGCTGTTTGATTTTATCCCATTCTGAGCAACATTATTAACCTTCTCCGTCCCTGCTGTTTAATTTTATCTCAATCTGAGCAACATTATTAACCTTCTCCGTCCCTGTTGTTTAATTTGTATCCCATTCTATAAAGCAACATTATTAACCTTCTCCGTCCCTGCTGTTTAATTTTATCCCATTCTGAGCAACATTATTAACCTTCTCCTTCCCTGCTGTTTAATTTCATCCCGTTTTTAGCAACATTATTAACCTTCTCCGTCCCTGTTGTTTAATTTTATCCCATTCTGAGCAACATTATTAACCTTCTCCGACCCTGCTGTTTAATTTTATCCCATTCTAAGCAACATTATTTACCTTCTCCAACCCTGCTGTTTAATTTTATCCCATTCTAAGCAACATTATTTACCTTCTCCGAACCTGCTGTTTTATTTTATCCCATTCTAAGCAACATTATTTACCTTCTCCGACCCTGCTGTTTAATTTTATCCCATTCTAAGCAACATTATTAACCTTCTCCGTCCCTGCTGTTTAAATTTATACCATTCTGAGCAACATTATTATCCTTCTCCGTCCCTGCTGTTTAATATTATCCCATTCTGAGCAACATTATTAACCTTCTCCGTCCCTGCTGTTTAATTTTATACCATTCTGAGCAACATTATTATCCTTCTCCGTCCCTGCTGTTTAATATTATCCCATTCTGAGCAACATTACTAACCTTCTCCGTCCCTGTTGTTGAATTTGTATCCCATTCTGAGAAATAATAAATTAACCTTAAAATTCCTGAAAACCTAACCTTAAAAACCTAAATCTTTGCATCTTGATGGTGTAAACCTGTGATATTTTAAACTTAGATTTGATCCAAAAACCAAACCATTAATAAATATATATATATATGTATATCTTTAAAATAATATGATAATATTTAAAGGATGCTTGACTCCAACCTCTCAGTACTATGTAGGAGAAATAAATTCGGATTTTCTATTTGATTGTTTACACGGGGCGTTAGTTAGTTTTTATGGGGACAATTAAAAAAATTTGCAGTGTATTATTTGTTTAACAAAATTTAATTACAAACCTTTATGAATCTTTAACTTTAAATCGGTAATTTGATAAACCGGCAATGGGTTGTTCAGCGTCCTCTCCCATTCATTAAATTCGGGCCATCGCAGTGCATGCTCCTGCCTAAAAAAACTTGTAAGTCTTATAATGGTATTTGTGAGGGTGTAGTGTAAAGTGAGCATTATACTACGTGCCAGTAAAGAATTGTATCTACTGGAAAGCAACGTGATCTAAAGGAGGCCTGGGAATAAGCTGAAGATAAAACCGTGTCCGGGAAAGTGCGGAAGAAAACGTGTTCTGTCCGGGAAAGTGCGGAAGAAAACGTGTTCTGACAAGACTGAAACGTATTCTTCATATTTCTTTATAGAAGCGTTTACCATCTTTCGACCTTCAATATAATTTTACCGATAAACTACAGTGAAACTCTTAATACGAATACATCGGAAGAATTTATCAAATGTGGTCTTGACAATTTTTCAATGAGTTTTATACTATATTACGTAAATTTCAGCATTTGCGAAAATAAATAAATAGCCATGAATATGCGGGAACAGTTTTAAAGAGTTCCATATAATCATTTAATTAAAAAAACTAAATATCTGCAACATTCCATTTTCAGAAAGTGAAGAATACGACATTTGATGAATTCTTTCCATGTATTCGTTATTAAAGGTTTCACTGTAGGTGCATGCATGAATGTATGATCAGTGTTCAATTTTAATAAATTTGAGCCGCGTCTAAAATCCGCCAAAAACCGGTTTCAATTGAGCGCCGGCTTAAATCTTAAAACAATGAATATGATTTTAGGTGGAACCAAACATATTTGATCGGCGGCTTAACTTTAAGCCGCCGCTCAAATTCTTAAATTCGGCCTCAGTTTGTTTATTTTTAACTTAATCTTCATGTTGAGTACGTTAGACCCTTTTCTATCTATGATCAGTCAGGTTCAGTTAAATTAACGAAATTGTAATGGATATATGCCAGACACCGTTTTTTAATCAAATAACTTAACTAATGAAAAATTTTAAATCTAAAATTCCAAAATTTACTTATCGTTTATAGGTTTTTTCGTTTTAAAAAATAAATTACAGTTCTTTCTGTTTGTAAAAAAATCCATTCATTAAGAGAACGGTGCACAGTCCTAGATTTGGTGCTTAAAAGGAAATAAAAACGGTGTGAAAAAAATAATATTGGGACATTGTTGTGATGTTTCTAAGCTCCCCCTAGATCTTTATTCTGAATTGACGATGGAAAAAATAAAATGAAATGAATCCATAGCAGAGAAAGAAACGTGATGCAACCTCGCATAATCTAGGTTATATAACAATTATTTGTAGTATGGTCAGGGGAGGGGAATTCTACCAGTGAAACTTTTTTTGATATAGAATTGTTTTTTTTTCTCCATGTTCACACATATAAGATGCAGGGCGGGAAAGGGGGGGGGGGTACTATTTACAATATATATTATGATTAATCCCTTCTGAACTAACTAAAATGTGTCTTTTGTAGTCTGACGGATTAAGTTAAAGGGACTGTAAACGTAATTTAAAGTGACATTCAGTGCAAAGATGGCAAAGCTAGAATCATAGATTTACAACGATATTCTTAAACGCTTGGTTTGATCAAGTATGAATTTAATATTAATGTTTATATTTTGGAAAACTGATTTTTTCAATCTTGGTTTCTTTACAAAAGAGACTTGTCATTTTTGCATTCGGAGTCACTTGAAATTACGCTTACAGTCCCTTTAAACCATTTTGGAAATCCCTAAACGACCTATTAGAAGTCACCAAATCTGTTATTAGTCGTTTTTACGGATTGAGCACATAACATAATGGAATGGATTTAAAACACCTGCACCAGGTATAATATTACCAAGCGTAAAAAAAAATAAAATTCGGTAATGGTAATGGACCAAACCTCTGTAGAGTAAAAAAAGTAGATGTTAGTTCCACATTTATTGAAAATATTTTTCGGTCTGGGTCGACCCTCGTCAGTTCTAACGATATAAAAACCATCAAAATCGGTAAAAAAATTGTAAAAATAATTCGTAATGTGATAAAATAACAAAGTCATCAAAAGTTCAATAACCGAACGCCAAATGTAACAAATCATTCCAAAAGAATTGAAAAAGGGAAAAATAGATTTTGATAAATGTATGATTTTTTCTCTTAAAGTTCACAATTTTTCTATTGAAATTTAACGTAAGTATTAGGTTTCTATGAATTTACGGATCAAAGCACCCTATAGGAATTAATGTATAAATCTGGTATATGTTGTCTGCATCAGCATAGCATGTTTTAAATGTATTGATAGAATTTGGTGAAAAATTGCCATTTATAATTATTTTCAACTGCGAGTTCTGAACGATTTTTTTACTCTTAATATTTTGATACCTGGTTGTTATGAGTTTTGTATACTAGAAACAACAATTAAAAATAATAAGTTTTCAAAATTATAAAATTGATATTTAATTCATGCTTATTCAGACAAAGGGACTGTTGTGAATCGGTCATTGTTATCCTTGCATAAAGGGTCACTTGAAATCACGCTTAAAGTCCCTTTAGGCCTCAAATTTTTTTTATATAATTGTTTAATATGCCATTCATCAATTTTCATTCCTTATATCTGAACACACGTATAATAACGATTCACAAAAACGTTTGTACTATAAGTGGGCCGACATATTGGATACAAAAACGTTTGTACTATAAGTGGGCCGACATATTGGATACAGTACTTTGAATTACAAAAAAACTAATTTAAAGATAAGCTTAGTCTTCAATATTCGCCGGATTTATATTTGTGCAAAATTGCATAATCAAGGAAATTTGAATCTTTCTTTTTTTAAAGATTCTTTTAAATAATGAATAATAAAGGGCAATCTATATATAAAACAAATAAAGAGGCCTGGAGGATCATGAGGATCATAAGTATCATGAGTATAACAAGTAAAGAAGCCTAGAGGATCGTGAGTATGACAAGTAAAGAGGCCTAGAGGATTAGCAGTATGACAAGTAAAGAGACCAAGAGGATCAGGAGTATGACAAGTAAAGAGACCTAGAGGATCAGCAGTATGACAAGAAAAGTGGCCTTCGAGGTTCAGCAGTATGGTTATATTGTGTCTCTCTCTCTCTGCACGCTGTGGACCGGTGATAAGTTAAAATGGTTATAAAACTCTCCGTCCAACACGAGTCTTTGAAACAGCTCTATACTCCGGAGCTAACACTAAACCTCACTTTCTATTCAACCTCAGGAGGACGAACACAGTTAGTGCTTAGCTCCAGGATCAACAGAGAACTCCGAATTTAAATTCAAATTTTAAATCAATTACAATACAACAGGTTAATAATAAACTTTTTAAAGTATATTTATTGATATAAAAAGACAAATTGTTTTTTGCCGTTTTCCAAAAACTAAATATTGTCTACTGGTTAAATCTTAGATTTTGTGAAATTTAACACACATCATTATTTTAAAGTTTTTTATCCTTTTTGATGGTATATATGAATTGAAAAAGAAATGATTATGTTAAGTAATACTTTAATATGAAATTTGAAAGAGGGCATAGGAAATATCAATTTGAAAGAGGGCATAGGAAATATCAATTTGAAAGAGGGCATAGGAAATATCATTTTTTTTGTGAATCAGATTCTTTAAACTTCTAATTACAGTTGAAAATTGTAAATTACTGATTTTACTTGGTATAGCAGCATCCTTTTTTCATTTTTAAACCATTGAATTCAACTTGTGTCACTTTTTTTACATAATTTGTGATGACGATTAGCTAAAATTTGTTTTCTTCATATTAGTTAAATATGCATTGTCACGCTAAGGTTTAAAACAAGTCTAATTGATTCCATCAAATCAGAATTATGTAACTTTCAACGTTCCCTTTACTGGTTCTGATCACGTGTAAACATCTCTGCTTTTTCTTGGAGGTTTCTGCTACGTTTCCTCGGTAATCTGTGATCAGAGAGGGGGAACATTTTCTAGCCTTGTAATATTCACGGGTGCAGTACACGTGTACTTCCCGGGGGGGGGGGGGGGGGGGGGGGGGGAGGTAGGCACCACACCAATGCATTGCACATATGTCAAACTTGTTTTTCTTCTTCAAAGCACTTCTTTAGAAAAAATCCCAGGATCCGTACCATTGAAAAATTAAGGAGATTAGCCTTGACAAGACGCAGATGTGCATAAAATTGGAACCTAACCAGTGTATGTATAGAGTACTATTTTCCTCCAGGACTTGTTGCTTAACCTCTTTTTGTTTTTCAGGATCTATACAGATCTGTTCAGCTGAACCAGATAATCTCAGATCATGCTACAGGTACAGTTTTAACTTTTATTATTTATCACATTAAGAATCATTTCTCTCTAAACGGATTACCTAACATTTTAAAATCAAATCATTTTTTTCTGAAGAAAAACAATGTTTATAAATTTAATTTTCACACATCACAATATAAAAAAAAATAATATTTTCCGCAGCAGGCGGACTCAATAGTTAAGCTGAGCCTTCCTTTTATCCAAATTCTTAAATTGATTTTTTTTAGTTTGGGAATCCGAGTCCACTGTTTGACTCGCTGAGTCGAGAAAAGAGATTGTTTCTCAAAAAGAACGAAGATATTCTCTGTCAGAAGAAGAAACTAGAGACAGGGTTTACAAACCAAACCGAGGATACAGTGTGTCTCAAAACAATGTGTCTGGCAACGTGTAAACCCTGTATGCCGGATAAAAAAGAGCACGCTCTTCTTCTCTTCAATGGTTTAGGTGATTACAGATTTATTATATTATTAAAGAATAAAAAAATCAACTTTTAGATGCCATATTCATCAAACCAAACTTAGTATCCAATCCTAATTTTGATTGATTTTAGGCGCCAGAAAATGGAAGGTTGGGCTTGGAGTGAATCAAACCGAGTTCAGGAAGAATATTCTTCAGATTTATCCTCTATTAATATCTGTACCTGGATACACTATCTGGTTTATCAACAAAAACAAACAGTTCGAACAGCTCTCAATCCAGGTTAGTTTTTCATTCTATAGCTCCAGTAATGCCAGGTGGTAAAGAAGCTAAGTTCTTACCGCAAACTCAAATTTACCCACAGAGGATGGGACTTGGTATCAAATCATTTAATTTATCCTTAAACAAAAAATAATATTCCAAGTGAAGGATCAAATTCATGTTTTATCCTTTGTGGGTAATTTTAAATTTATTTCTCTTTTTAAAGTTTCAAATTTAAACATTGCATTGAATATAACTAAAGTTTTTCTTAAACAATTAAATATACAAGTTGTTTGGTTGGCTGTCTAGCCTTATTTAGCTTTCTTTTTCCTAAAGGAACTGAGTTTTTGCCACAAATTATGATTTTTCAATCACTATATCTTTTCAACCTGATGGTGTAAACCTTTAATATTTCAAAATATCATTATTTGATCTAAAATGATTCATAGTTTGAAATATTAAGGTCTCCGACATTCAAATGAAAAGATATAGGGATAAGAATATCAGAGTTTGCGACAAAAACTCAATTCCTTTCTCTTTTTTCGTATAAGTTTTAAATAAATTTGATTTATAGTAAATTTTTGTTGGTAGGCAAATACACCTGAGCTGATAGTACGCATACTTGGACCTAATACAGCTCAATGTCTCATTATTGTCCCCCATGAAGAAATTAAGGTAATAAACTTTAAAATTAAAACTGAAAAAGTCTAAATTTCCAAAAAATATCTTTTAATAATATGGTTTTTTTTTGTAGATGAAAGTAGAAGAAAGATGTGAGGAGAAAACATGTCTTCAAATACAGGATAAAAACAGAACAAACCAAAGGTAACACTTTTTAAATTTAAAACAAAAAACATTGACTTTAATTCAAATAATTAAGATATTGCCACGTAGTTACCCTTCCTAGAATGCCACTATTGATTCACAACCCTTATATAAGCTTTTATCGCAGCTTTCTCAATACTAATAATCTGCAGAATTGAATTTTATAAAAGTATTCTTGATCTTTCGCGGAGAAGAGATGGAAAATTAGCTGTGATTTTTACATCCCAAAAATCGCACCGTTGTGATTCATAGTTGTCACTTGTAATCAGAGAATGCATTAAAAAAAAACCTTTTTGTTGATTGCAACAAACTATATTATTATAACTATTTAGACTGAACGATCCTATCTGTTTAATCTGCCATCAAGGACTATTCATCTCCCAACAACAAGCTGCCGGAATCAAACAAGAAAATGCGGGAAACAAGGTTTCTCCGACAACGTCACGACTGAACCAAATCCTAGGATTAAACTGCGCCCAGTGTGAGGACAAGGTGTGTGCTGAATGTGTTTTCAAGGTTCAAGATCTCATCCAACTAGAGGAGAAGGTTCAAGATACTAAAAACTTTTTTGTTCGCGCATTTTTCAGCACAAACTGCACGATTACTCCATCTCAGCAAGAACAGAGAAAGATTGAAGAGTACAGGGAAGGGGCGAAGGACGGGGAAACTAGGGTTAACAATCAGATCTGGAGGAATGAGGAGAATGAAGCTCATCAGTTTCAACGGAAAAGTTCCCTTCAGAGTCAAGTTTTATGGGAGGAGGACTTGAATAAATCCAGATTGGAGGATCAGAAACGAAAGATTAGATGGGAGGAAGATACAAGAAGATCCAGGCGAGAAGATACAGAAAGAAAAGCAAGGAAAGAAGAGACAGAATGGAATGCTAGACATGAGGAGGAGAAAAGAGAAGAAGAGGAGCAGAGAAAATCTAGTTGGGAGAAGAATCAGACCCAAACCTATCCCCTGGATTTCTCCATGTGTCCTGGAAGTGCGGAGCCACCACTCCTGCAGTTTGACCGAACCAGCTATCCGGGTCTGTTACAAGCACAGTTCTATTCAATCCTTCAGAATCGTGCTGAATTCCTGGCGACTAGGATGAGAGATGACACAGAAGATCTATACAGGCATAATATCTCGAACTCAAGTTCCTCCTCAGGTATTGGAACAGACAGTAGTAAATCTGCCGATGAAGCATGCGAGATATCCTTCGAATCCAACCCTGCCGGAGATATGTGTGGCCCCAGCGTTGGTTTCACAGGATCATTCGTCCAAGAGAGTATGGGATACAGTAGGAAATATTCTGATTCTGCTGTTAAGGAAAAGAAGGATAGTAGATTGGCATCAAAGAAACGAAAAAGAGAAAACTAAAATTTATCATATATTGAAGTCAAGTTGGATGTTCACAATTGTACAAAACTTATTTTTATTTAGAAAATAGAAAGACATGTTTTCTAACTTTACAGCAGAATTATGCCATGCAAATTTGTCAAAAATCCATCTATGTGATAACATAATTAAGCCATTTAATCATCAAAAATATGTCCAAGCAACCCTACAGAAAATCTGGAATTTTTTGCATTATTTCTCACCAATAAGAGTGCAAATTGTTTTGTAACAAGTTTTAGTATGTTTTATTTTTTCGCACTTACACCTGAAGAATTAAAAATAAATATGAAATATGTAGTTTTTAAAAATGGTTTTGTGTTCGTAAAGAAAATTAACTAAAATTGACTTATTTTAAGAATTGGCAATAGATGTTGTTATTTCATATTATATATATATGAATGTACCTTATAATAAGTGAAATAAATATTTATAGAATTTTAATTCCCTTCAGTTGTTTCTTAAAATTTGTGGATCAAATCATGCTGAACAGTCAAACTTTTGACAGGATTTTTGTTTGAATCCAATTTATCATAAAATTCAAACTCATAGTTATATTCCTACTTAAAAGAACTTTTTGCATGAGCTGGGAACTCATGAATTTAATCTTCAGATTAAATAACAGATCGGGATTAAGGATATCACATTCTAAAGTTTTCAGCTCTGAGCTGAAAACTTCAGAATGGGATATCCAAAATCCCGATCGCTAAATTAATCTGGAGATCAATAATAAGAGAAGAACAAACAATATTTAATCTCGAGATTAAGAAAAAGAGTGGATCAAGCATTAATCCCGATATCCACCATTCAAAAGTTCCCAGCTCTGTTCACATTACTTTAGATAACAAGCAGTAAACCAGTAAAATAAATTAGCTTTAATAAGTTTATGTACAAATAAATACGATCTTATTACATCTTTTGTAAAATATAATTGAAAACAATATTCATGGTTAAATGTCATATTATGCAGTTTACATGACGGATGAAGTTGCGGATTTTTGTATTGAAGGATGCGTATTTTTGTTGAAGGATGCGTATTTTGTTGAAGGATGCGTATTATGGATTAAGGAAGAGGTCATGTTTAATCTTCTTCTGACGAACAATCCCAGAAGAAGATAGTATTCTAAATTAAAAATCATGAAATGGTTTATTTGTTTATACATGAATCTGATTCATCCTGTAACCAAGAATCAGAAATAAACAAAGTGCAGTGAGGTTTTTCAACGGGACTAAAAGTTNCCCCCTCCGTCAATTCTAGAGGACATTGTTATGGATTTTTCAAAAGTCAGATGTACAGGGAACTTTTTTTAACTGACGTCTTTATTAATTTATTACCATTATCGATAGTGATAATAATTGATTAATAAAACAAATATAAAAAATTCAATTGGTTCTCTAGTTTGATATGACCATATATATAAGTATATAAGTAACCTCGATGCATCTTATATATTTTCGCTTTACATCCAGGTTATTAGAAAAGATGTTATTCAATTATCTCAATAATATTCAAATTAATTTTTAAAATTCAAATTTTTGCATTAATCCTCCCCAAAACCGTAAAAAATGTAAGTATGGGTGGGGTCAAAGGATTTGAGGCTTTGACACAAATTCAAATTCTTTAATCCCTATATCATTGCAACCTGTGTTTCGCTACTTAGCGATTTCCCTAAAGACCTAATATATGTACCGTGTGGTATTTCTCAGGATTGGATCGTAAGACTCCCTTCTCTCAACGCTCTTCATAATAAAAAGGAAGATAGTAAGGTTCCGAACGTTTATTTCTCTGAGCCTTCAATCTAAACAAATTTAATAAACCCACAGAAAAAGCTTTGAGTGAAAATCATACAATTATAACAAATAATCCTCAGGCATTAAAAAACTGTGGCTAGGAACCAATAAACGAATACATAATCATCAATCATACTAGAATCAACCGATAAACATAGATATATATAAAATAATTACCACGGTGATCCCAGAATTCTGAACACGGAAAATACTTGCAAAACGAATAAACATATACTGAATATAAATATAACTACTACTCCGCGAGAAATCTTGCGTCTGCGCAGTCGGACTGTAAACAGTTCCTAAACTAGTTCTTTCACAATACATTCCGTACAGATCTTCAGGGAGAACTCAGAAATCCCCAGGGGTGACAAGCAGACTTTCTACACGCAGCATGGCTCGCGTAACAACCTGATAGTGTAAACCTTAGATATTTCAAATTTAGGCTCTTTGATCTAACAGAATTTATAGATTGAAATATCTAAAATTGGTTTTCAAAGATATAGGGATTAGAAAATCAGAGATTGTGGCAAAGACTCAATTCCTATGAGAAATGGGAAAAATATAAATGGAGCCTACTAAAAGCAACTCCTAACTTGGTTCTAATTTTCTCTTGTGATTAAAGATACTGAATGAATCAGGCCTGAACAGTGAACAAGCCACAAATTAAAGGAGGAAACAAAGCTGTAATAAATGAAACTGGACGGAAAAAGCCAGATAGATAGATATAGATGAATATACGCGGTATGAAAAATTATGAGTGGGCCTGAGTCCAACAGATTACGCAAACAAATTAGATCCATTGATCATTTAAACCAGTAGACTGTCAGATTCTCCCCTACCCCCCCCCTGTCAGACTCACTGTTCATTACATTTCCACTCTATCTACTTCCCCTTGTTCCTAACATTTCCACTCTATTCTTCTTCTCTCTGTTCTTTTCATTTCCTGTCTATTCTTCTTAATTGTTCCTAACATTTCAACTATATTTTACTTATCTCTGTTCATTACATTTCCACTCTATTCTACTTCTCTCTGTTCATTACATTTCCACTCTATTCTACTTCTTTCTGTTCATTACATTTCCACTCTATTCTACTTCTCTCTGTTTCTTACATTTCTACTCTGTTCTACTTCTCTCTGTTCCTAACATTTCCACTCTATTCTACTTCCCCTTGTTCCTAACATTTCCACTCTATTCTACTTCTCTCTGTTTCTTGCATTTCCACTCTATTCTACTTCTCTCTGTTTCTTACATTTCCACTCTATTCTACTTCTCTCTGTTCCTTTCATTTCCACTCCATCTGCTTCTCTCTATTCCTTACATTTCCACTCTAATCTACTTCTCTCTATTCATTTCCACTCTATTCTACTTCTCTCTGTTCCTTACATTTCCACTCTATTCTACTTCTCTCTGTTCCTTTCATTTCCTTTCTATCTGCTTCTCTTTGTTCCTTCAGTTTCCACTCTAATCTACTTCTCTCTGTTCATTTCCACTCTATTCTACTTCTCTCTGTTTCTTACATTTCCACTCTATTCTACTTCTCTCTGTTCATTACATTTCCACTCTATTCTACTTCTCTCTGTTTCTTAGATTTACACTCTATTCTACTTATCTCTATTCCTTACATTTCCACTCTATTCTACTTATCTCTGTTTATTACATTTCCACTCTATTCTATTTCTCTTTGTTCCTTACATTTCCACTCTATTCTACTTCTCTCTGTTCCTTAGATTTCCACTCTATTCTACTTATCTTTGTTCCTTACATTTCCACTCTATTCTACTTCTTTCTGTTACTTACCTTTCCACTCTATTCTACTTCTCTCTGTTTCTTAGATTTCCACTCTATTCTACTTCTCTCTGTTTCTTAGATTTCCACTCTATACTACTTTTTTTGTTCATTACATTTCCACTCTATTTTATTAAATCTATGTTATACATTTCCACTCTATTTTACTTCTCTCTGTTCATTACATTTCTACTATATTCTACTTCTCTCTGTTCATTACATTTTCACTAAATTATACTTCTCTCTGTTCATTACATTTCCATTCTATTCTACTTTCCTCTGTTATTGCATTTTCACTCTTTTCTACTTCTCTCTGTTCATTACAATTTTAGTCTATTCTACTTCTCTCGGTTCTTATATTTACACTCTATTCTACTTCTTTCTGCTTCTTACATTTAAACTCTTTTTACTTCTTTTTGTTCCTTAACTTTTCCACTATATTATATTTCTCTCTGTTCATTACATTTCCACTATATTATACTTCTCTCTGTTCCTTGCATTTCCACTCTATCTACTTCTCTCTGTTCATTGCATTTCCACTATATCTACTTCTCTCTGTTCATTACATTTCCACTCTATCTACTTCTCTCTGTTCCTTACATTTCCACTCTATCTACTTCTCTCTGTTCATTACATTCCACTCTATCTACTTCTCTCTGTTCCTTACATTTCCACTCTATCTACTTCTCTCTGTTCATTACATTTCCACTCTATCTACTTCTCTCTGTTCCTTACATTTCCACTCTATCTTTTTCTCTCTGTTCATTACATTTTCACTCTATCTACTTAACTCTGTTCCTTACTCTTTATTTTACGCTGTTCCTTTTACTTTCACTCACTTATATTAATTTAACTTGTTCTTTTTCTTCAGAAATATCATTTTAGAAAAAAAGGCTTTATTACAAAACACATATTACAAAGTTAATATTAACATTACAAATATTTGAAAAAATGTACTATTTGACTATCTATATTCAAAATAATAAAGGAATATGGGAAAAAATGAACTGATGCATTTCAAACTTGAATTTTGGATTTTATAGCATTCATAGTTTAAGTAATCAGTTTCTGTATTTTTCATTTCTCCACATCTTAAGGACGTGGTGAAACCCTTTTGGTTCGGATGCATTTTGTGTAAACTGAATATAGAAATGAAAACTCAAAGTTTGCAATATTATTTTTGATAATCCGTTTCATATGGTTCAACACATTCTTGTCCTTGGTAAAATAAATGTTTAGAAAAGTGAGCATACAGCATAAAAATAAAGATGGAATATATAATTTTGCAGAATCTACAACTGAGTTCTGAATTGCAGTCGCTACGGCTAGAACAAACACTATTACAAGAGCGCCGATCATTAGTTTCTTAAAGTTAATAAGATTTTTTTCTGACTGAATGAAACTGAATAATTTGCGCGTGTTTACTTTTCAAATAAAAGTTGTTGAAACAGTACGCCGAGATGATTATCACCATAACAAGAGAAATGTTCACAATATTTACATAGATAACAAAATTTGTCCCTTGTGTTGATATACCACAGAGATATCCCAGGGTAGGAGATACAGAATCTAGAAGGTATAGACTAGTTCAATACATAATTTACTTCTGTTTTGGTAAACTACTAAAATTTAGAAGATGAGGGTTTATGAACCGGCCTACTCCCCCCCCCCATCTCTTGCAACCTACTTGGAACAATTGGATGAACCAGATATCCATGTGTATTATTTTAAATTCTAATTTATCAACAAAAATAATAACTCATTTTTTATCACTTTTCAAGCTAGGATTATGACGAAATTTACAAAACTATTAATCAAATTAAATGTCTAAAACTTTAAATGGTATCAAACATGCACCTTATGAAGAGGTTTACTTTAAATTACGCTTACAGTCCCATTAAGTCATGTACACTACCTGAATATACCGAATATGTAATTACGAAGATCAGTATTGGAAAATAGAAGAGGAAAATGGAACCAAGAATATATCTTCCAAGATACTCAGGATCATACTCCAATATCCTCTCAAGCTATAAAAAAATAATATTTATGAACTCAATCAAAGCTTGAAATATCGCCGGACCAATGAGTCATTTCTTTATAAAAGCTTGTTGTTGGGTGTATGGAACAATTTGATTCAATTCCGATGTGAAAATTTAGTTATTAAAGTCAATATTTAGACCAGAGGCCGAATTTAAAGATTTTGAGCCACGGCTTAAATTTAGGCCGTATGGTTGGTTCCACTTAATATCGTATTCAATGTTTCAACTGTTAAGCTGGCGCTAAATTGAAACCGGTTTTTGGAGGATTTGAGACGCGGCTCAAATTCATCAAATTCGGACTCAGTTCTATTTACAAAGTAATGTCATTTAATCTAAGAAATAAAAGAACCAATGAAAATTTTAACTCCCCTCAAGATTAAATGATGAATGAAAAGTGTTGCATAACAATTAAAAAACCTGTTTTTTAGAGGAATTTGCATATTTGTTTGCCCTGTATGCAAATGATAAAGATATATATGTTAATATTTTGAAAAACCAATATTTCCTCCTATTACCTTGAGTACCATGATTACTCTAAGTTATTGCTAAAACCAATATTTCCACCTATTACCTTGAGTACCATGAGTACTCTAAGTATTGCTAAAACCAATATTTCCACCTATTACCTTGAGTACCATGAGTACTCTAAGTATTGCTAAAACCAATATTTCCACCTAATACCTTGAGTACCATGAGTACTCTAAGTATTGTTCCAACACAAGCTAGAGCTAGGTATTCAAATATACAGAGAAGGTAGCGACCAAAGAGGACGGAAAACTTAGAGACAGTTGAAGTCCGCATTAAGCATACAGCCTAAAACAAATCATTTTAATTTTATTGGTTTGCATTTGGAAATTGGAACAGTACACTCGCCACAAACTCTGATTTGTCGATCCATACATCTTTTCAATCTGATTGTTCAAACCTTTGATATTTCAAACTTAGATTATTTGAATCCAACAGATATCATAGTTTGAACTATTTTTATTTTAAAGGTTTGCAAAGGAACTGAACATTCGCCACAAATTCTAATTTTCTAATCTCAATATCTTTGTTATCTGATTATGCAAACCTTTGATCTATTTGATCTAACAGAATTCATAGTTTAAAATATCAAAGATCAATGAAAGTTGCAAAGATAAAGAGATTAGAAAATTAGAGTTTGAAATTATAGTGCTCGGCCCAATATACGTGCTAAAATGCTATTAAATCCATCAATGACATGTACAGAAAATACCGAATATTTGAATTTCACAGAGTGCTATTTATGATTTTATTTGAGTCATACAAAATGTTGTAAGATAATTTTGTTTTCAAACTGAAAATTACTTGCCATCATAGAAACCATAAGATTGTACAACTCTACAATGAAGTGGTTCATTATACGATGATGATGTTCATCTTGGAGCTCGGGATAGAGTTTCTGTAGACTCGGACCATCTCTGCACAGAGGTTCGAGAACAAGAATGGGAGAGAGAATACCAAGAAGATCAAAGGATCAGGGGTGAAGGAAGGATCAGAAGTGAAGGAAGGATCAGAAGTAAAGGAGGGATCAGAAGTGAAGGAGAGATCAGAAGTGATGTAGGGATCAGAAGTAAAGGAGGAATCAGAAGTGAAGGAGGGATCAGAAGTGAAGGGGGGATCAGAAGTAAAGGAGGAATCAGAAGTGAAGGAGGGATCAGAAGTGAAGGTTAAAACCAATATTTCCACCTATTACCTTGAGTACCATGAGTACTCTAAGTATTGCTGAAACCCTGTTTATTCCAACACAAGCTAGAGCTAGGTATTCAAATATACAGAGAAAGTAGCGGCCAAAGAGGACGGAAAACTTAGAGACAGTTGAAGTCCACATCAAGCATACAGCCTAAACAAATCATTTTAATTCTATTGGTTTGCATTTGGAAATTGGAACAGTACACTCCCCACAAACTCTGATTTGTCGATCCATACATCTTTGTAATCTGATTGTTCAAACCTTTGATATTTCAAACTTAGATTATTTGAATCCAACAGAAATCATGGTTTGAAATATTTTCATTTTAAGGGTTTGCAAAGGAACTGAACATTCGCCACAAACTATAATTTACTAATCTCAATATCTTTGTAATCTAATTATGCAAACCTTTGATCTATTTGATCTGACAGAAATCATAGTTTTAAATATCAAAGATCAACGAAAGTTGCAAAGATAAAGGGTTTAGAAAATTAGAGTTTGAAATTATAGTGCTCGGCCCAATATACATGCTAAAATGCTATTAAATGTGGATTTAAAACTTTTAAATAAATCAGTGATAGGTACAGAGCATGTACAGAAACATTTAAAATTAACAGTTTTTAAAAAGAAAATACCGAATATTTGAATTTCAAAGAGTGCTATTTATGATTTTAATTGAATCATACAAAATGTTGTAAGATAATTTTGTTTTCAAGCTGCAAATTACTTGCCATCATAGAAACCATAAGATTGTACAACTCTACAATGAAGTAGTTCAGTACGATGATGATGTTCATCTTGGAGCTCGGGATAGAGTTCCTGTAGACTCGGACCATCTCTGCACAGAGGTTAGAGAACAAGAATGGGAGAGAGAATATCAAGAAAATCAAAGGATCAGGGGTGAAGGAAGGATCAGAAGTGAAGGAAGGATCAGAAGTAAAGGAGGGATCAGAAGTGAAGGAAGGATCAGAAGTGAAGGAAGGATCAGAAGTGAAGGAAGGATCAGAAGTGAAGGAGGGATCAGGAGTGAATGAGGGATCGGTAGTAAAGAATGGATCAAGGGGGGATCAGGAGTGAATGAGGGATCGGTAGTAAAGAATGGATCAAGGGGGGAGAGAGTATCAGGAGGGAAGGAGGGATCAGGATCAAGGGTGAAGGAGGGATCAGGAGTTAAGGGAGGATCAAGATTTTCAGGAATTATTTGAATTGAGTATTTCATTGCAAACTATTTTCTAGTGCAATTCTTTTTTCATATGAAATAAGGATTGGAAATCTATGATATGACGCCATATGCGTCATATCAAAATTTTGTTTTCATCTTTTTGTGACAGGGGTTTCTGAAAAATCATTTTTTTTATTTTTACATAAAAGTTAGTTAAAAAAGAATACTTTTCTATCAATAATTACTTCGTGAATACCCATTAATAATGAAACTTATGCAAAGGTGACTGAGCGAAGTTTATATTTTTTTGTTTGTTGTTGGGATGCTGCAACTTTAAACTAATTTATATCGTACCCAAATCTTCAAGTATATTATTTTACCGCCAACATTAACGACCCAGGACTCCCCCAACAGAGGGGCGTTAAGTTACTTAACGTCCCTTGGGACAATTTAGTAAAATAACGACCCGCTCTGCAAAGTTTTCGTGGAAAAGTTCGCGCAGTTCCGTCTCAAACGATTATAAAATTGATCACAACAACTATTTCCGGAAATTAAAAATTTTAATCAACAGCGGGTTCCCCCGACCAATTTTGCCAACAAAACATCCCTCATGGGTACCCTTGGTTAAGTAAAATTCCCTTAACTTCCCTGTAAAGTAGATAGTTCTAAATAATTATAAGAGGACATTTTTCCTGGACAACCTGATCCGCATAAAACAAGAATTTTCCCAAATTTAAGAAAGATCTTATAAAATCGATGTTCAGGGTTTGTAGAAAAACAATATGAAAATATGGAAATTGAGAGTATTTGAACATTTTTTTTATGAAACGAATAAAAAATGCATCTTATGTCCAAAATTAAGCTTTAAAAAATTCAGTTACGCGCTTAATATAATATGTTAAGTTTGCTTAAAGAAGTTTTAATGGATGAAGAATAGAGAACCCGAACTATTTATAGGAGAGCAATCAAAACTATAAAGAGAGTTCTGGACAGTAGCTTGGTTACTGTAGATAACAACAAGAAGAGGAGATCATCTTAGTTTCAGCCTGACCAACCCAACCACTAAACCTACAGAGCTACAAGTGGAACTTTTTACAAAATATAGATTTTCTCATTCCTATATCTTTGCAACCTTATGTCGTGTTTTAAGTTTTAATCACTTGACCTAAAAATGTAAAGAGTTCTTGAAAATGGCTTTGGATTTGTTTTTTTTTTACTCTGACAGTACTTTATGTTTTTATAATCGCATTTATCTAGTGAAATAACAGAATCTTTTGTAAAGCTAAAAAAGATGAGAAACAATTTATTTAGTGCAATAGACCAATTTTAAAATTCCGAAACTGCACCGTATCTGTTTAAAAAGGTTTTCATATTGCAAATTAAATTTAGATTAGTACAAAGTTCATGATAAAAAATCTATGGCACAAATGAAATAAAAAAGCTATACAAGATTTAACAATATTTAAATAAAAACAAGACATTTTTCAAAGAACTTTTATTGAAAAAGAAAAATACAATTTTTTTTAACAATCTTGATTATTGCTCCTTTTGCTTTGATTTAGCTTCTGCCTTCTGGACGTTGGCCTGTTGAGCCTGATGAGCCTGCTGAGCCTGCTGAGCCTGTTGACCCTGTTGAGCCTGATGAGCCGGTTGAGCCTGTTGAGCCTGAGCCAGCTGAGCCAGCTGAGCCTGTTGAGCCTGTTGAGCCTGTTGAGCACTAGCTAATTGAGATAAGGCCTGTTGATTCTGAGCTTGAGATTGCTGTGATTGCTGATAAGGAGCTTGAGTCTGCTGGAAACTGTCAAATTGCGCTTCTGCTAACTGAGCCTGAGCCAGTTGAGCCTGTTGAGCCTGTTGTTGAGCCTGTTGTTGAGCCTGTTGAGCCTGCTTGGCATTAGCAAATTGGGCTTGAGCACTAGCCAACTGAGCTAAAGCTTTCTGGGCGTTTGCTAATTGTGCTTGGGCCTGTTGATACTGAGCTTGATGTGACTGCTGATTAGAAACTTGAGTCTGTTGAAAAGGAGCCTGAGCTTGCTGATAGGGAGCTTCTGAAAGATGAGCCTGAGCTTGCTGAAAGTTAGCTTGCGCTTGCTGATAAGGAGCTTCTGCCAGATGAGCACTAGCTATTTGAGATAAAGCCTGTTGATACTGAGCTTGAGCTTGCTGTGATTGCTGATATGGAGCTTGAGCCTGCTGGAAACTGGCAAATTGCGCTTCAGCTAACTGAGTTAAAGCCTGTTGGGCATTAGCTAATTGTGCCTGGGCTTGTTGATACTGAGCTTGGGCTAGATGTGATTGCTGATTAGAAGCTTGAGTTTGTTGGAATGGAGCTTGAGCTTGCTGAAAGTTCGCTTGTCCTTGCTGATAGGGAGCTTCTGCAAGATAAGCCTGCGCCTGTTGATACTGAGCTTGAGCTTGCTGTGATTGCTGATATGGAGCTTGAGCCTGCTGGAAGCTGGCAAATTGCGCTTCAGCTAACTGAGTTAAAGCCTGTTGGGCATTAGCTAATTGGGCTTGAGCCTGTTGATTCTGAGCTTGAGCTTGCTGTGATTGCTGATATGGAGCTTGAGCCTGCTGGAAACTGTCAAATTGCGCTTCTGCTAACTGAGCTAAAGCCTGTTGGGCATTAGCTAATTGGGCCTGGGCTTGTTGATACCGAGCTTGCGCTAGATGCGATTGCTGATAAGAAGCTTGAGCCTGCTGGAATGGAGCTTGAGCTTGCTGAAAGTTAGCTTGAAAGGGAGCTTCCGCAAGATGAGCCAACGCCTGTTGATTCTGAGCTTGAGCTTGCTGGGATTGCTGATATGGAGCTTGAGCCTGCTGGAAACTAGCAAATTGCGTTTCAGCTAACTGATTTAAATCCTGCTGAGCATTATCTAATTGGGCTTGAGCCTGTTGATACTGAGCTTGAGATTGGTCTGACTGCTGACCAGCCATAGCTTGCTCTGAGTTATAAGAGTTAGTATTTTCCATTCTGTTTGGAACCTCTTTTACGCACAAATGCTTCTGAAGAACTGAATAAGTTGCAGATTTTTGGTAAGTTTCGCGGATTTGTTTCTTCAATTTCGTTCATTTTTAGACAAAACCAACAAATTAAATGGTTATCCAATTTTACTTATGTAACCTTAATTTTATATTTTGGATAAGTATGAATAAGTTTATTTTTATTTTCAAAATCTCCTCTCGGAAAGTAAATAAATGAAATAACAACAATTTTTAAGAAATATTTTTACGCTTTTATCTGATTTTAAGTGAAAATGCAGTAAATTGGTATGCTCGACGTAAATAAGGAAAAAATTGATTTTATACCGTGTAAAGAAGGTAAAAAAAATTTATTCATGTTTGCCAAAAGGTAAAGCCATATCTCAGGTGCAGCAGGGTAGAACACATCGGCTAGAACCGGCAAGGTGAGTTTAAGCCGGAAATTACAGAAGCGGTTTTGGGATTGAGCTTCCAGACAAGAAACCTGTTTTTCTGATCTTAAAAAACAAATTTGTTATTTTCTTGTGATTTATTAACATTTTTTTTTATCGAATTGTATGGTTATTATATCGTTAGAACTGACGAGGGTAAACCCAGACCGAAACATATTTTCAAAAAAATGTGGAACTAATATCTATTTTATTTACTCTATAGAGGTTTGGTATATTATTATCAGCGAATTTTACATCTTTCTGATCTTGATCTTTAGAAATCTTAATTTTTAGATAATTTAATTCCTGGTCCTGGTTTCGAAGTTTCTCGTGTTTTCTAGATATCCTGAATTAAAAACATTCTGATTTTAATTCTTCATTGTTTTATGGTTTTTT